AAATTGTGTAAACATTTAAAACTTGAGCAAACAACATTAGTTAATAAAATAATTAATAAAACTAAATAATTAGTTACTTAATGGATAATGATTAAATAACACTAAAGCTTAAATAATTTTCATGTATTTTTAAAAAACGGACTATTCCAAAAATATATAAAGTAAATAGCCAATGCTAATTTATATGTTGTTTGCATTTAATAGATGTCACCATGTTGTTATATTTGCTTCAGATCTTGTATAAAATATTTTAGAGAAAAGGAAAWGTTTAGATAAAATATAATGAATACTAAAGCATTTAGAACCTATACTGGGAAATAAAACATTGTGAATACAATTGAGGACTCTGGTATGTTCTTCTCAARTACCAGAGGTAGTGTCCTGATTTTGGTTTCAGTTGTTCACCTGCATTTCTTAAAAATATGTTGAAAGCCAGGCACAGTGGCATATGTCTGTAATCTCAGCAGCTTGGGAGACTGAGGCAGGAGGATTTAAGTTCACAGCCAGCCTCAGCAACTTAGTGAGGCTCGAAGCAACTCAGTGAGACCCTGTCTCTAAATAAAATACAAAATAGGGCTGGAGATGTGGCTCAGTGGTCAAGTGCCCCTGAATTTAATCCCTGGTACCGCCCCCCCCAATAAAAAAGTTGTATTACTATATTTTCTGGTTGTAGWCTTCATAAAAAACAACATTTTGTCTGGGTATGATGGTGCAAAGGTGTAATCCCAGCTACTCAGGAGGCTGAAGCAGAAGAATTGTAAGTTTGAGGCCAGCCTCAGCAACTTTTGTGAGACCCTGTTTTGAAATAATAAAAAGGCCTAAGATTATACTACCACAAGCAGTATACTGATTCAGTGCAATCCTCATCAAAATACCAATGGCATTCTTCATAGAGCTAGAAAAAACAGTCCTAAAATTCATTTGGAAGAAAAAAAGACCCAGAATAGCCAAAACAATTTTAAGGCAAAAAAGCAATGCTGGAGTCATCAGAGTACCTGTCTTCAAATTATACTACAGAGCTATAGTAACAAAAACTGCATGRTGCTGGCATACAAACAGACACAGAGACAAACCCACACATCTGTAGTCATTTCTTGACAAAAATGCCAAACAGATACATTGGAGAAAAGAYAGCCTTTTTAACCAATGGTGTTGGGTAAACTGGTTATCCATATATAGAAGAATGAAACTAGACCTTATCTTTCACCTTGCATAAAAATCAGCTCACAATGAATCAAAGACCTGGGAGTTAGACCAGAAACTATRCAACTTCTACAAGAAAACATAGGGTCAGCACTCCAACACATAGGCATAGGTAATGACTTCTCGATGACCATAAAGCTCGGGAAATAATGCCAGGAGTTAATAATGGGATGGCATCACATTAAAAAGCTGCACAGCAAAGGAAACAATTAGGAGTGTAATGGGAACGTACAGAATAGGGAAAATCTTTGCTGGATAAGTATCTCTAAAGTATATAAAAAAACTTGAAAAACTTTACACCAAAAATAATACAATTAATAAATGGGAAAATGAATTAAACAGACATTGCTCAAAAGAAGAAATACAAATGGCCAACAAATATATAAAKAAATGTTCAACATTATTAGTAATTAGAGAATGTAAATCAAAACTACACTGAGATTTCAKTTTACACCAGTCAGAATGGCAGTCATCAAGAATAAAAGGCTGGAAAGGATGTGGGGGAGAAGGAACATTATACTGTTGGTGGGATTGTAAATTAATACTACCACTATGGAAATCTATAGATTCCTCAAAAGAGTAGTTGTGGAACCACCAAACAACACAGTTATACACTCCTCAGTATTTTTATTAAAGAATTACAGT